AGTCTATTAAAGCTTAGACACTCAACAAAACAAAATGAACCAGGAATGTCACAGGACAAAATGATGAATATTTTCCCTGCTGAATCGAGACTTTAAGACTGCATTACTTTCAACTTAAAGTAAAATTTCGGACTATTAAGGTTCGCCTCGTTGCTTTGATAATATTGTAAAGTTAAGACTATCACTGTAGAATATTACGTTACTCGTGTGAGAAAACTAACAGTAATTGGAAAATCGTTCCTTTTTTTTTAAATGCGAGAACAAATTAACAAATTTTACGGTTTAAACGCCAAAAGCTGGCAAAGCATGGGAATCCAATGGACCTAAAATGTGTGGTAAAAATCACTTAGACTGTATATATAATGACCAAAGCGCTACTTCAGCCTAATCTACTCATTCCATTATTTGATTTAACAACCTATTATTATTTTAATACTGGCAGATAAATTTCCTAAAACAGTGATGAATAAATAAAAAATGTGCAGTCAACCCAATCCTAATGCCTTAGACCATAGCGTATAAGTATATGCAATATGATTGTCTAGTGGGCCATTTACAACCGTATGTGTCATTCCATGTATTATTTCAATAAAGAAAAATGTATTGCATTTGGTTTAAATCAAAGTTGACTGACTACAATGCATTGTTGTAAAAATGGTCAGTTTTCTATGCAATGGTTGCATCCAGCATAATAGAGCGCTCAGCTTCACTAAGTAGCCGCAGGGATTTTTTTTTTTCCGCTGGATGCTACCATTCCTTATCATTTTACTGAGCGCAAGAAAAGACCGCTAATGAAGTGAGCGATTTTGACAGTTAGTTTGTTTGTTTGGAATTAAGCACAAAGATAAATGATGGGCTATCTGTGCTCTGCGTTGTAAATCAGCAGACATACCACTGTGATACTGGGGGCTTGGCAGTTAGTACAATAAAATCATGCATGTATATAATACCAACATGAAATATATATATATATAAACTGAATAACAGCAAATGTATGCTCAAACACATTCTTCTCTTTAATTCGTTTTTTTTTTCATTCATGTTCCTACCTTCAAAACATTTCATTCAATCAATCAACAGAGAAAGTTCCTTTTTTGTTTTTTTCGTGAAATATGATTATCTTAATTTTTGTCCACCCATTGGCTTTCTACCTAAATCCATACCAAGAAAAATATAAACTAAAATGAGAATGTGGTGTCTTTGTTTCAATAAGCTATCAGAATTATTAGCTTTTACACTACTAAGGGAGCAAAGCTGGGTATAAATAAGGAAAGATGCACTAATATAATTTATTCATGGTTACACTTATTATTATTTTTTATTTGGTAAAAGTTTGTTTTCAATTTAAAACAATGAAGAAGAAATGCACCATAATTTCTTTACAGTATGTTAATATTTTTTTAAAAAAAGATATATTTTTCCCTATGGCTAAGTGGATTTTTGTTTTGTTTGTTTGGAATTAAGCACAAAACTACACAATGGGCTATCTGTGCTCTACCCACCACGGGTATCGAAACCCAGTTTCTAATAGGCTAAGTGGATATTAATACGTTTTGAGTTCGCCTTTCTCTAACAGCCGCCAGAGGGCGCAAAAGTCATGCTGGTCAACAAAGGAAGAATGTCTTATGTTTCAAGAAAACTATATGTAATCTGGCCATCCAAAAACTGCTTACAATCATTAAAACAAGTTGGAGATCATTGAATAGAGTTTTCTGTTTTTCAAACTTGTTTTATATCCCCACCTAAAGAAAGGGAAGTTGATCTTGTTTTTAAAACTTCGCTGTAATATAAATGCTTGTCTACAAATTAAATCCTCGAGAAACTGGTTAAGACTAAGAGATTCTATGTTTGACAAATCTTCTGAAAAGTTAAATCTAATGAGAACTTACAATATTTTATATACTTAATTTCACATTTTCTAAGAATCTTAGGTCAATGATGCCATACTATTTTTAATAGAAGCCAAAAAGACATATTTCATAAAACTTAATCTAATAATGAAACCAACCATAAAAATAGTGAGGGAAATCAAATTTTGTCAAAATGAATAAATATATAGAGAAACATTTAAAAATGTCTAAACAGTATAGAAAACATTAACATCAAATTGAAGTTTTAATAAACCCAGAGCGATTCAGAAAATTTGGACGCATTTAGAACTAACTTTAAAAAAAAGAAGTAAGGCATTAGGACCTAAAAGCCTAGTGAAAATGTAGTTTAAGAAGAAACGTAGCATAGAAGTAATATATGGAAAAGTAAAATAAATTACGATGAAGAAATCAATATACATATCTGAAAGGTGGCAAAGTGTTCCCAATAACGTCACAGAACGTCGATAAAATTAAGCCTAGATAGCTGCACAATATATAGTCTTAACGAACTAACTAAAGTTATACAAACTTTCGAATTATAGAAATAGTACTCACCATATGAAATGATTCAGCTCTAGACAATTTTCTTTTGAGAAAAGTAGTTTTCTAGCAATATGAAATAGCTGGTAGCTAATATGATAAACGAAGTAGTAATGCTAATACTACAAGTAGTAGAGGATCTAGGAGTGAAGTCCACATTCCTTATTTTTATATTTTCACCTTTATATTACGTAAAAAAAGCCTAAATTGAGAAAGCGGTAAAAGAAATTTGTATTTTTCAGCCAGTAATACCAAGCAGTGCTCGAACACATCATTTTCTTGAATGTTTTCAGCTATAACTGCATTATATTTATATACCACTGCCACCACCCATCGTCACCACAAACCACAATTTTTGCTACTGTATTATTGTATTATATAACTCTTTCAAGTTTAATTGCAAATTTCAAGCCTAAAGTTATACGTCGCTCGACTGGAAGGCTTACTACTGGTAGTTTTGATTGTGTTATTTTCTTTTTAGTGCCGCCTGCGCAAGATAGCTAGCTAATCTTATTTTTAGCTGCCTCGTCCTAATTAGGTCACTAGTTCATTATGTATTAGGTCAACCAATAGGCCTAATAGAATGATTTTTAGCACCTCATTATCCACGAAATATGATTTCTTAAGGGTAGGTCCTATCGACTTGTCCCTTAACAAAACACAAATCAGTTAATTATAAGCATATCTAGGCCTAAGTCAAGTGGAAAATTCAGGCTAGGCTCATACTGATAAGTTGATCACATGTACATTTTGTTAGGGATTGTGGGAATTTCAACATTTTGTGAGGTTTTGAATTTCTTTTTAGAAAAAATTTCAAGTAGTCACTGACAAAAAAATGTGTTTAATATTTTTAGTTTAACTGTTGTAAGATATATGAATTTAATGTGGTGAAGAATTTGATTATAAAAATCTTGGTAAGACCTCGCCAATCTTCAAAGTTCAAGCCGCGCCGAACAGAAATCCAAAATGGCGCAGACCACTGTGGCTAAGAAATCCAAGTTCTTGAGTATATGAAAATATTTTAAATTGAATACACGTCTATTTATTGGACGAACATCGTTCACTATAAAGTCACTAATTATTACTGACCAGATAAAGTGTTTCTACTTGAGAAGTATTGTCAATGAAAGCAGACAACAAGGTGTTCAGACAACAGACTAATTGATGCGGTAGTAAATAGTTATAACTAATAAGTAAATTGACCATACGAAGTGTTTTAGCTATTAATGATCTTCTTTTGGGAAGAGAAGTTTTTCTTGTAAAGTGACTAATTATTATTTACTAGATGGAGTGTTTCAGTTTGAGATGCACTGTCGATAAAAGTAGACTGCAAAGTGGGCAAACAAAACAAAAAACAACTAATGTTACCATTGAAAATAGGCCTAAGTAGATCAAACCTAGGGCTAAACTAAAGTATTTGACTTTATCAAGAAGTCGTCATCAGAATTAGATGTATTTAAAAACAAAAACAAGAAAAAAAACAAGATGTAGAGAGATTAACCACGTATTAAATAATGATAAGATTAATACAATTATCCATTTGGTTCAGTTGTGGTTTATATGCCTTAATAACATAAACATATGTCTCCAACAAAGGATTTCTGAACAGGCTTCTTTGTCTAATTACAAAACTCGTGTATATTCAAGCATACTCCATAGAAATTTTTCCAGGGAGGGTCAAAGTAGTGTAAAATTGTGAATTGAATAAAAAAATTCGTATACATATGCTAAACAAATAAATAAAGAATTATGGTTCTCATATTTTCCAGGGGGAAGGTGCCCCCCCCTGAGGACGTTTGTTGAACTACTATAACCATTGGTGCATAAAGGGCAGGTATATTTGTAGACAACTAAGGATTTTTATAATTTCTGAACCCTTTTCTATGAATATGAAGAAACTTCCAAGACGAAATTTCTAAAAGCACATCTGACAATATGCAGTTGAGGATAAGCATTGCTGAGCAATTAGAAAATATGAGATTTTAAGTTGAAATATTCATTTCCTAGATAAGGAAGTTTAAGGGTTTTAGAGAGCTTATCAACTGGAGGAAAATGCAAAGATTTTGTAAGATTAGAAATAGTTTCCATTGCCTTTTTAAAACCGAAGAGATAGGCTTACTTGCAAGGCCTTGGTCTTTTCAAAACCATTTACATTCATAATTTAAATATATAAATGTACTTTCAACAGTAACTGGAGTTTATTATTAGACCTAATTTCCAAAATAAATATAACACAATTTACATCTCCAGAAAACTGTTTTTATTATAATTACAATTTGTTTTACAGGTTTTTGTAGGATATAACTCCTGTGGACTTAGTATTGGCTATGAAATCTAGTTTAAAAGAATGAAAGTTGCCATGGTTTTTACGACTTAATGGAAAAAAATTGCATTTAAATTATTAAACATAACTGTGTTTCGTAGTGGTTGATATTCAAGAAGAATTTATATTATTTGTGTATATATATTCTTTCTATACAAAAAAAAAAGCTTCAGGTAGTGAACCAAGCCTGGAATATTTCTAATACACAGATTTTCTATCTGGTAGAAGTGAATTAAATCTCATAAACCTCTCTCATTTTTTTTTAGTTCTGGCCAGGCACCCCGTAACATGGCCACAAATTTGGGATCTTCAGCCATAGAAGATAGAAAGGTAAAGAAAATAGCTTTGTCTTACACTTATATGCATTTGAATAGACAAAAATTTAGTTCTGGGATGTAAAACCTGTTCAGTCAGTTTAAACTTCTAGGTTTTTTGAATGCCTCACACAGTCTTAGTTTTAACTTCATTATTTAGGAAAATTTTCGCAAGACTCTTAAGTTATGCCATTTGGATTATAAAGCCTAAAGTCTATAAATGCACTTTTGTTTTGAAAGTACCAAATTAATCATTTAATGGTAGAAAGGTATAAGGGTAGCATACCGTTCCGTAATGTTTTAAATTTGTTTGAAGTGAAAACTGACACCAACTGGGCAGAACACATACCTATATTAAAAATTGATTTAATAAAGTGGAATTTGAAAGCTGAGTTGGCTTCATTTTAACTTCCAACATCACAGAACAGCGTGTCACCATTAAATATTTCTATGCATGCACGTGGCAGTAGATATACAACCTTAAATGCACTATTTCAAGTGTTACGGTAGCTTATTTTAATAAAACCCATCATATACTGTACGTGTGTTGGAATTATATGTATCTATTTCATTTCCCGATTTACTACAGTCATGAGTTTTCTGTTTCTTGCATAACTAGGTGAAAGTAAAGATGTTGAAAATTGTATGTTTGAAATAGAGTGACATGCTTGATCTATTGTTTTATCTAATACAACATAACCTATGCACAATGTGGGACTATTGTTCCCGAGGCTTTCCTTGCACACCCATCTATGGAAAAATCAAAAATATAAACCTACCCCCTACTTTGCAGGAAATCAATTCTCTTTTAAAACTTCTGCAATATTGCTGGGCTCCACTATTGCCGTTAGCAACTCATTCCACAAGTCAGTCACTTTTTGAGAAAAGCAAAAGTGTCTTAACTGGAGCCTAGCCTGTTTTTACATATCTTAAACTTATTTCATCGTGTCCTATTATCTTAGCACAAAGAAATTAGAGTTCTTAATCCCAATGATCCCCCAGATAATCTCATAAACTTCATAAGGTCATCTCTTACCCTTATTTTCTTAATAGAAAATAAGTTAAGAGATCTTAACCTATTCCTTTTGCTCATAAGTTTTTTGAAGTACCTAATTTCCTTTTTAATAATATCCATGAACATCCCATAGTTTTGCAAGTCTTCCAATATTTCTGTCAATTTAAACTTATAGGATTTCTCCCTGATTTTCTCTTTTATGTCTTTAGTATGCTGAGTGGTTTGATCTTCCCTATTATCTTTTTCTTCGTTTTAGGATCACCTTATCTGAAATAAAAAGAATATTATCTTTTAAAAATTCATAAATATCACCTTTTATTCATTGTCCCAATACACTAATAACATTTTTTTCTCATGTCTTCAAAATTGGATTTCTCAAAATTTGGAACTAAAATTTAGTTTCTTTTTACCTCAACATGTAGAAAAACATCAAACCTAATTATGCATCGTTCCCTGACTAAAATGTGTAAATCTAAAATGACATCCTCGCTAGTAGGTTCTCTTGTTATGGAAAACTGTTGAATCACTTCAAGAAATTTCTCTTCTTGCTACTTTATTTCATATGATCCCAATCAATGTGTATGTAATTAGGTATCAGATAATTCAGGTGCTTTAATATTCATCAGGTAGTTAAAAAGTATTGCAATAGATCAGCATGCTCCAGAAATGCACTTTGGTTGCTTAGTGATTTATAGTTTAAGAACTCTTTTGGTGACAGAAATATAATAACTTTGTGTCCTCTGTTAACTGTATACCAACAACTTGTCTATAGGTTTTTATAGAGGCTGTGAAATAACAACAGAATTTCCAATAATCTTCAACTGTTTCCACTCCTCGATCATCATTAACTTTTGGATACTTCAGTAATTTCTTATAGAGGACATACTAAAATAGCTTAAGCCTATAATTTTATATAAACAAGCAACCTGGCCAAAACCCTGTAAGACAAACTGAAATGTGGGAGTAGAAGAATATTCTCAAAGTGGGTGTGCAAGGACAGCCCTGAAGGATCAAATGGTCCCTTGTTGTCTGTATTATGTTACGTGTTTTTATCTAAAGTGATAGAGGGTGTCTTCAGTTGAAACCCAAAGAGCAGTGGGGATGCAACATTTACCAGATTTAACAAGCTTCATTTGTGGTATTATATCAGCTGCTTAATTTTAGATTATGATAAGCTAAGTGTGAGTGCTTAACTCCTGGACATCGTATGCCTTAATCACCATTCACTACCTTGTAAACATTTGTGGGCATTAAGTTATTCCTAACGATACACATTAAGAAATGAGATAGAAAAAATGATTAAACGATAGTGAATAAACATATTTTTAAACAGGTTATCAAGCATTAAGCTTATCTCTTGAAGTTAGGATTCCAGCTGCCAAGTGGTAACATCCTTATCTATAAACAGAAGACTTGATCATTAATCTGATTATGTTATTATTTCTGTCCTATATGTACGTTGGATTGCTTATTTAATAATAAGGGGAAAATATATGTGTATACAGTCTTAATGCAATTATCACTTACTGAAAAACCTTTTTTTTTAGCTCTACGGTAGAAGAAATTATGGGTACATCAGGTAAGATTATACAAAAATACTAAAGCAGAAAAACATATTATTAAATTCAAAATGTTGCCTTTTAATTTAGATGAAATATATATATAATATAATATAGGTATAACAAGAGATCATTCAATATTTAAACTTGCCTTTGTGAGAGGATAGCCCTGAAGGACCAAATGGTCTCTTGTTGTCTGTGTGTTGTATTTTTGAGCAAAGAGGTAGTAATATCTAAGGAATTGTACCCACAGAGCTATGGGATATAACAATTATCAGATTTAACCTCAATTCACAAATTTCACATAAGGAATTAAAAAAAGATACTTCATTTCATTGGACAATATGACTGCATTAATTCTGAGATTGTTAGGAAAAAAATTGGAAAATTGAAAAAAAATGATAAGGCTCTTGGGCCAGATAATATTTCCCCAAGGGTTTTGAAGGAGATTAAGAACTGGATATGTGAACCACTTATTACTATTTTTTCTAACTCCTTGAATGGTGGGCAGATGCCAAAGGATTGGAAGTTAGCTAATGTCACTCCTTTTTTTGAGGGAGATAATAAAGATTGTTCCAATAATTATAGGCCTATTAGTCTTACACCAGTTGTGCGAAAAGTTTTGGAAAGTCTGATAAAAGATGCTTTGCAAAGTCATTTAACAAAGCTTATAATTGTATTGGATAGTCAACATGATTTCACCAAGAGAAAACCTTGCCTTACAAATCTTTTGACATTCTTTGAAAAGGCTAACTGCTTATGTAGATGAGGGTAAAGGTGTATATTTGGTGTATCTGGATTTTCAGAAAGCATCTGACAAGGTGCCACATGAAAGGCTTGTAAAAAATTATCTCTTTGGGTATGGAGAATAAGTTAGCTGGATGGAAAAAAAGCAGAGGGTTGCTTTAAATGGATTTCAGTCAAGCTGAATTAATGTCACAAGTGGAGTACCTCATGGCTCAGTTTTAGGACCTTTGCTCTTTTTGATTTATATCAATGACATAGATGATCAATAAATTACTTAAATATGCTGATGATATTAAGGTCTTGGGTGTTGCTAGCTGTGAAGAAGATGCTGCTGCTTTACAAAAGTATTTAGATCATTTAGTAAGTTGGGAAAATAAATGACAGATGGATTTTAATTATAATAAATGCAAGATAATACATGTTGATTATCATAATTTGAATTATAAATATAATTTGGAACGGAATAACCTTAACAGTGTCATGTAAGAAAGGGATCTTGGTGTAATAGTTGGTCAGTTTCTTAAGCCATCCAAGCAGTGTGCTGTTGTTAGTGGTAGGGCAAGTAGGATTTTAGGTTGTATCTACAGAAATATTGAATACAAGTCTAAAGAGATTATAATTTCATTGTATAGGTCACTGGTTAAGCCACATTTGGAGTATTGTGTTCAGTCTTGGGCTCCTTATGTTAGGAAGGACATTGAATTGTTGGAAAGGGTTCAGAGGAGGGTTTCTTGAATGGTGCCTGGGATGGAGGAGAGATTAAGATCTGTGAAATTGTTTTGTCTTGAAGAAAGAAGATTTAGAGGGGGTTCTGAATGAGGTGTTTAAAATTGTAAAGGGAATTGATAAAAGTTTAGTGACTTGGATAAGTTGGATTACAATAACCGAGTCTTATAAGAAAAATTTATATATGCACTGTCTAAAATATATTGCTGAAATGACTGAAATATTGATATTAAAAGCTATAATAAATTTTTTTTGTTTTTGGGAGAAGTTAGTATTCTAAGGCAAAATTATGTGATAAAAACTGTAATCACATTGCTTTTCATTCTATCCGTGTTGAGTTGGACCAAATCTTTGGTGTGCTTTATGTAAAGAAAGGTCATTGTTTTAACTAGGAAAGAAAGATTTAGTTTTGAGTGAGTTGTCGAAATTAATTAATTTAATTGTCTGTTAAATTTCTAGAAAAATGTGAGAAAGAATGATAGAAGGTAAATTGATACAGTAAAACTATGCAAAAATACAATTTTAAGATGATTAACCAGTAGTCTACTAGTGTCATAGATATTTGGTGTAGTGACAGGTTTTTGGCTAGTAAATTTATAACAGTATTAACATTTCATAAGATTGAAAAGTTTTTCAACTTGTAAAGCTCCTGAAGAGATAAAACATTTCTAATTAGCATGCTCATTTAATTATAAATGACGGATTTAAAACTTTATTACTTTGGGGCTGTTTTCTGAAATGTTCACATATTTGTTTTAACTTTTTTTTGTTGTTGTTTATGAATATAGACATTTTTCATTTGTTTGCACCATTGGATTCTGTGTTGTATTGGTTTTTACGGAAAGTGAAAAGAGGAAAAACCTCTCAACCGATAAACCAGTGTTTTGTCATGTATTAGATATCCATATATTTTCAGCTGATATACGTAATAAGTATAGCCTATTTTCTAGAACTTGCTTACAATACATGATTAAAATACAAGTTTATTGAGTAGAGTGACACATTAGAGAGCCACATTGAGTAGAGTTTTTTTTAGGCATGCAATAACCAGCAAGAATAAAGTCAATATTTAATTCGATATGTTTTGGGGTAAATTTTGTCTCTCCATCCCATAAAATGTACCACTTTGTTAGGTTCGTTTTGTCTGAATACCACTACACTGTATGTTTAAAAAGTTTTGTTCGTCTTTTCTTTGGCTTTCTTAATAATTCTTGATACATTGTTAAAATAGATCCCTTGTATTTTCAGTTTTGTTTAGAGTTTTAAGCATCATGGTTCTGTTTCAGACCTCCAAATATACGGCGAGATAGCCAAGCCCAAGTTACTCTTAAGGGCTGGTTATTCCGGCTAGAAGGAGGAGCCTTGAGACAGTGGAAGAGAAGATGGTGTGTCTTGACAGACTACTGCTTGTTTTACTATAAAGGTACACTGAAATAAATAAAATTAACGGTTTAATTACATCTCTGAATCTGTACGATTCTGATGTTAATCTTCAAACTGAAAACGGTAATATTACAGCAAAGTATCATTGCATATGTGTAACTTTAAAGCACGAGTAAACTATTGCAAGAATTACAGAAGTAATGCCACATTTCAAGGTTTGTCAGCACTATTTACAAACACCATTTTAATGTTAGGGTTTTAATTATCAAATAAAATTTAAAATTCTGCTCATTATTTTTTTTACAGGGTGATGAATATTTTTGTAATTTTTACTTTAACTACTTTTTAAAAAAAATTAAGATATGTATGTATTGTTAGATCTTGGAGAAGACAAACTTCTTGGGTCAGTAATTCTCCCCAGTTACAGGATTTCACCATGTTGTGCCAATGACAAAATAGCAAGGAGGTTTGCCTTTAAGGTGAGAATTTATGCATCTGATAATGTAGCAGTAGAACAAATTGGTGTTGTGGAACCAAATGTTTAATGAGGTTTCCCAGATAAATGAAGAAAGTCCACGTCAGCTACATATGTTGATAGTTCCTCTTACAAAGGCTCAGTTAAAAAAAAGCTATGCCATTTACACACTTATACCACTCAAAAATAAATGTAAAGTAATGGAATATAAATAAAGCTTTTGCATCATGTAATAGTGTAGTGCTTGTATCTGTGGTAACACAATGTGACTTGCAGAAGAGGGAAAAATACGTTTTTTTTATTTTTCTTTTTTTCTAACTTTTTATTAATCTTAAGTAAAATTATCATTATTAATAATCTTTCATATATTTTCTACTATGGAAGAAAAAAATTATTTTTTTAAATCATCTGAAAGTTGATTTGTTTAACCTGAGTTAATTTGGGTAAAACATTTCTCACCACATTTTAATTATTTGCATCTTATTGGGTATGACAGTTACTCCTTACTAGATAGCACTGTTGCTGTGTTGATCTCTTTTAGATATATTCTGAATTATGTATCATAAACACTGAAGAAAAGTATTCCTGTTCTTTTCATAGAAATAATACATATCACATGTAAATCCAGATATGTTACATTTATTTATCGAGTATATTCTATGCAGAAATGAAAAAAACAGATCACAGAATAACTTTTATTTTATTAATATATAAGTTTAGGCTATCAAAATGCGAAATAAAAAAACTTGACTTTTTTTTGAAGCTCATTCAAAAAAAAAAGCCTGACACGGAAGGGGTTATAGTTCAAGATACGAAAGTTCGTTATTGTTACATATGTATAATAATCATCTTACAATGGATGTGTACACATGTACCGTGATACATGTGGTTCTCTCCTCAGTTAGGCGTCCATTCATTATCGAGTTTCTAGAAACTTCTGTGAACGTCTATAATGTTTAATATTTGTTGTAAGCTTAGAGAAATAATGCAAATATACTTCTGAGAGATTGTTACAAAACTGGGTAGAGCTTTAGAACTAATCTTTTACTATATACAGTTAATTCCTTTAGTGTATTTGACACTTCATAACTGAATTTTAATATGATATATATATATATTCATCTGAGCCTGCTTCCCCTTATGGTTTTTTGTATTTTATACTAAGAAACATGGGTTTTTACTTATCATACACACACACTTTCTTGTGGTGTGTTGAACAGCAACTAATAATACACTAGAGGATCTTTTATGTTTCCACTCTTGATTTTCCATACTGAAATAAACTCCAACTCTGCCCATTAGGATGTTACACAAGGGAAATTGCATGACTTGTCACTTTGCACAAACTATGGATGTCGCTATGGTGCATGGGTGTACAAGTAGGCAGCATTGTTACACAACTTCTTCAAGTATTCATGGGAATTATTTAGTATACATTTATTCTAATTTAATTATATATGGTTGCTGAGTAACAAGTAGGCAGCATTGTTACACAACTTCTTCAAGTATTCATGGGAATTATTTAGTATACATTTATTCTAATTTAATTATATATGGTTGCTGAGTAACAAGTAGGCAGCATTGTTACACAACTTCTTCAAGTATTCATGGGAATTATTTAGTATACATTTATTCTAATTTA